AAAAAAAAAAAAAAACAAAATCTAATACATAAAGAAAAACCACATACCAAAATCACACGTTGAGCATTTTACCCAACAGATCAAAAACCATAAATACAAAATCCAATAAAAGCAAAGACGCGGAAAATCGAAAACAACATATTCACTGCGGATGAGATGGAAAACGGAAAACATATTTGCTCTTCAACTCTTTCATGTACCCACATACCGTTCCTCGCGAAGCAGGAAAGAACGTCGATAGCCTTTTTCACGGCCAACCGATCCTTGTATGACGGCGAGAGAGCAGAATCGAGGATCTCGACTTGAGCGCGCACCTCGAGCGCTGGATCCTGATGCGGCCGATCGCCGTCGGGATCCTCATCGAGCTTCCTCTTCAAGCTCCGGCGAGACGGCGACGGCGAAGGCTTCTCGCGGCGGCGCCGGCCGGAGATATCGCTCTGGTTCTCCATGAGAAGAAACAAGCGACGGTAAGAGAAGAGAAAAGATCGGATTACAGCGTGGAATGAGAGTGAGTGAGAGCGCGTGGGGTATTTTAGGGAATTTATCTGCTTTTCGTGCTCTATTTTGTGGGGAAATTAACTAGTTTAAGTACATTGGAAATGAAAATGGCGGGTAAGGTTTCGGATATTTGGCAAAAACACCCGCCCATTTTCAATATTTCGAAACTGTACCCTCCCGCGGTCTACTCTCCAATCTAAAACCGCCAAAATGTTGAGCAATGCTACTATGCTAGTCATTAAATTTTAATTTTACTTTTTAAACTTAAAAGAATAAAACTATGTTAGACATAATGCTTTAGCATAGAGGATTACCAAAACTTAACGTATATATTTAATACTTTTTTTTATTTTAGAAGTGATGTGGTTTATAAAATAACTAGTATAGATCCCGTGCGTTGCATGGTGGGACATATTCTTCAAACTTTTTTAAAACTTTGTTTTCTAATTTTTTTTTTCAAAAATTAATCAATGAGTTAAGTCAATAAGATAAATAATATGTAAAAAAACTCCTATATTATTAAGCACTTCCTTATACACCATATTATTGGTTTAATTTTCTCCTAATCCTTCTTATCCACAAATTAATTTTTTCAAAC